ATACTAAACTGATCCTCTGTAAAAAAAAAAAAAAAAAAAAGAAATAAATTATCAATTCCCAACTTGACTCTCGCTGGGATTAAACATGACAATAGGTCTGCTCTGATTTCATCATCATTTAAAAAAATCATCTATTATTTTTCACTTTATGTTTCTGTGTGGGAGCAAACTGTTGAAATCCATACTTAATGTATACTAAGCTGATCTTCTGTATATTAAGATAATCGAAAATGAATCTTGATGTGAATGGAAGGGGAGAGGGAGTGGGAAAGGGGAGGGTTGTGGGTGGGAGGGACGGTATGGGGGGGGAAGCCATTGTAATCCATAAGTCGTACTTTGGAAATTTATATGCATTAAATAAAAGTTTAAAAAAAAAAAAGAAATAGATTTACAATGAATCCTGGGGGTGTGTGTGTGTGTGTGTGTGTGTGTATAATATATATTACATACATGGTCTAAAATACCAGGGTTCTTTCTAACTCACATCCAGAGTTACAAAGAAGGAAATTAAATTTCAAATTACAATGTTTGTCACATTTCCCAAACTCAACACCATGTTCAGAGCACTCCATGGCCTTCCCAGACTAACTCTACCCGATTCTGAACTTGAAGAGTCACGTGGATCTCAGTGAGCTATAACTGGTGATACACACACACACACACACACATACACACAGTGAAAACTGGATTTCTGTCTCTAATTAAGCCAAATGGCATTCAATTTTGGCTTTTCAGTGTACCATTGGAGGGGGTTATAGAAACTGACCTGTCTGGAAAAAACCTGATTCTTTAAAAAAATAAAATCGCTTATTTATTTGAAAGTCAGAATTAAAGAGAGAGATTTTCCATCCACCGGTTTACTCCCCGGATGGCCACAACAGCCAGAGCTTAGCCAGGCTAAAGCCAAGAACTTCTTTCAGGTGTCCCACGTTGGTAGCAGGGGCCCCCACACTTGGGCCATCTTCCGCTGCTTTTCCCAAGCCACTAGCAGGGAGCTGGGCTGGAAGTGCAACAGAAGGGACACCATCTGGCACCCATATGGGATGCTGCATTGCAGTTAGCAGCTTCACCCACTGTGCCACAATGCCAGCCTGAAACCTGATTCTAAGTTTAAAAGCTTCATATGTGCGCTGATAGGAATTTCTTATTCACATAGCAGCCATAGGAATAAAAAACCTTTCCCAAAACAAGAGACAAGCAAGGAAGCGCCAGCGCCACAGCTCACTAGGCTAATCCTCCGCCTGCGGCTCTGGCACCCCAGGTTCTAGTCCTAGTCGGGGCGCTGGATTCTGTCCCGGTTGCTCCTCTTCCTGCCCAGCTCTCTGCTGTGGCCTGGGAGGGCAGTGGAGGATGGCCCAAGTGTTTGGGCCCTGCACCCACACGGGAGACCAGGATAAGCACCTGGCTCCTGGCTTTGGATCAGTGCGGCGCGCCGGCCACAGCGGCCATTGGGGGGTGAACAAATGGAAAAGGAAGACCTTTCTCTCTCTCTCTCTCTCTCTCTCTCACTGTCCACTCTGCCTATCAAAAAAAAAAAAAAAAAGGAAGCAAGAGAAGGCTGATAATAGGGTACTTCTGACAATTCAGGGGAAATAGAATTTAAATATAAATTTATTTTGCAAAAAAATTGGAAGTTGTGTATATATGTGTTCTTACTGATGATTTAGCAGGTAGCAGAAGTCTTTTGAAAGAAGTAAAAAGGCCTTGGGATACTAAGATTCTAACCTGGATTTTTTACCATGTCTGGTGAATATGTATTTAAAGTCAATAAGGTAGGAAAATGTTGTCTGCAAGCTTGTCTCAGATTCTTTCCAATGAGCTCCTAAAAGCCCCAAAAAATAGGTCTTTATGAAAAACTATTTCACCAGCCGTAACAAGATCCTCACACCATTTGCATGTCAAACCTCCAGCTTGTGGCCATGTGACAAGCAAATGAAGACAAACTGGAAATAACCATTAGCTACAGGGGAGAAAACCACAATAACATTCAACAGAGGTCAAAGGACTGCAGAGCAGGCACAGAATCTGAAAGTCAGGGTCAACGAGAATGGCAGCGGTAAACGTGGATGCCACCAACAAAGACACCTTTGCATTCAGAATCATCTTCACCTTGGTGGTCTCTGTGATGCTAACCATCACCGGCATCATAGGGAATGGCTTCATCACAGCCATCTATGTGGCAGAGTGGGCCAGAGGCAAAAGACTCCCCACCAGCGACTACATTATGTTGATGCTAAGCTTCTTCAGGCTCTTGCTACAGATCTGGATGATGCTGGAGAACATTTTCAGTCTACTATTCCATAGCATCTATATGCAAGCTACACTATACAGAGTCTTCAAAGTCATCACTATGTATCTGAACTATGGCAACCTCTGGCTTGGTGCCTGGCTCAATGTCTTCTATTGTGTTAGAATTGCAAACTTTACTCACCCATTATTCCTCAAGATAAAGAGGAAAATCACAGTGCTGATGCCATGTCTTATACAGCTGTCATTGCTGGCTTCTTTCAGTTTCAGCTTAATCTTCTCTAAAGATATCTTCAATGGGTACGTGGATATTTCTACACCTGTCCCTTCCTACAACTCCACTGAAAAGCAGTTCTCTGAGACCAACGTGGGCAATCTAATTATAGTCTATAATGTGAGTGTCTTCATGGTTTTGATGCTGTTCATCCTGGCAGCCACTCTACTGATTGTCTCTCTCAGGAGACACACTTCACACATGAAGAACAGTGCCACTGGTTCCAGGGACCCCAGCATGGAGGCTCATGTGGGGGCTATCAAAGCCACCAGCTACTTCCTCATTCTCTACATTTTCAATGCAATTGCTCTGTTTTTTTCCATGGCCAACACCTTTGAGGTTTATAGTTTCGGAAGTATTTCCTGCAAATTTATCATGGCTGCCTACCCTGCTTGTCACTCGGTGCAACTGATCTTGAGCAACGCTGGGCTGAGAAGAGCCTGGAAGAGATTTCAGCACCAAGTTCATCTTTGCGGTGAAAAGCAGGCCCAGTAACTGACACCCAGATAGCAATACTCCCGTGGACCTCTCTCCTTCCTCATCTTTTCCTCTCTCAGACCTTCTCTGACGCTTCTCAGATAACTAGATCCCTTTATGATTGCAAAATTGTATTCTTAACCGGATATTCTAAGCAAACGTAGCCAAGCAATTCAAAGATGGATTAGTGAATGCTCCTTGCTGTAGGCGCATACATATCCTGCCCTGAGCTTTTCTCCACCTTCTCCTCTCCCTGGGTCTTAGGAGAGAGTGAGCAGACACCTCAGTTTTCTGGGACCATCTTCGTCAGCTGTGGCCACGTGTGTACCCTTTAATTCTCGAGGATATCCTGATCTGGATGAAAAATCATATGACCACCCTACTGAAGAGACCCCAGTAACCCACAACTAGGAAAAGAGAGCCAAGTGGAGAGTGCAGGTGCAGTCCAAGAGGCAGAAGGGGAGCCAGGACGTCTACAGAGAGGAGATGCAGGAGAGAAAGGCTGGCCAGTTACCAAGTACTGCAGAGGTTCTGCGGACAGTGAAGCACGAAGACAAAGGTTTTGGAGCTGACTAAAAGGAAGGCCTTGGTGGGTACTAGGGTGGCACCCAGATTCTGGGAAGCTCCAGAGCAGGTGATGAAAATACTGGAGCGGGTGCTGACAAAGATCAGGACCATGGGAAAGCTGTTTGAAGTGAAGTGCGGAGGCAGGGGGCAGGCGGATGGCCCGTTGAGCAGTTTCCATTTCCGATGGGGAACAGGGAGAAGTGAGCAGGAAGCAGAAAGGAAAACAAAGAGGCCAGAGTGAGTGTTGACCTTGCCGAGCTCCCAACTCTGGCAACGCGAGCGGCCCCTGTGTCTCTGGATAGACCAGTTCTGGATTACGCTGGAGTGAGCAGTGGGGCGAGGGCAGGTTACCTGGGAGTGGCTGCTGCAGAAGAAAGAACCCTTGCTGCCCACTGTCACTCTTCAGAATGGCACTGTCAGCATCGCCTTGGGCAGGGTGGGGGGTTCAAATGACAGCCCCCTCAGATACTGTCGAATTTTTAGAATCTAGGAATTAGAGTTTTTCTTTCACCTGATACTTTTACAATCACAACTAGTGACAGAGATGTGGAAGGAACGTTTCTGATCATAGCAACCTCAGGGAGCTTCCCAGTGAAATGTCAGCACAACAACAAAGTCTGGATTCTGAGCTCCTGAGACCTCAAGTGGGTATTTCAGAGCCAGTTCCTTCAGCCCACAGAGTGAGAAAACAAAATCACTTCCCTCCCACATAGCCCCTTTCTAGCTCAGATGGCCTGGGACTCACTTACCTGGAAAGTAAAATATTTGTGAAAACTCACAAGTGTTACAGTTTTCTTAAATGATATGTATTTTTGTGACTATTTAAGGTGAGTATAGTTGTTATGGAAAGGAGAATTAGATTTTGAAATTTCATCCTAATTCTTACAGACTAGAGAAAGATAATTTCTTCCCAAAGAATACACGCTGGTTAAAGGGTCTACCTGGGCGCAGGCGCTGTGGCACAGCGGGTAAAGCCGCCGCCTGCAGTGCCAGCATCTCATATGGGTGCTGGCGCGAGACCCGGCTGCTCCACTTCTAATCCAGCTCTCTGCTATGGCCTGGGAAAGCAGAAGAAGATGGCCCAAGTCCTTGGGCCTCTGCACCTGCATGGGAAGACCCGGAGGAGGCTCCTGGCTCCTGGCTTCGGATCAGCACAGTTCTGGCTGTTGCGGCCAACTGGGGAGTGAACCAGCGGATGGAAGACCTCTCTCTCTCTCTCTCTCTCTCTCTCTCTCTCTCTGCCTCTCCTTCTATCTCTGTGTAACTAACTTTCAAATAAATAAATAAATATTTTTAAAAAAAGGCCTACCTACTCACTAAGAGTGCTCTAATGTGTCACAGAGAGAAATAGAAAACTGGTTTAAGGTCACCAATATGTAAACATGAACCACATTAAGATAACAAATGGATCCTCCGCTTCCAAGTCTGTTCTGTAGAAATGGAGTCTCATTGTTCCCAGGAGCCGCAGGCGGCAACCCTGGAGCTAACAGGAGCTTCAAGGCAGACGATGTCCTCAGTGGTGGACACTGTCCGGCTGCAACCAGGGGAAGCTCCCTCCAGCTCTTTTTCTTCCCTTAACTCTCAGCTAAGCATGTGGGAAGGCCCAGAATACTCAGTGTTCAAACTGCCTGGCTTCAGACGGAAGTCACAAGTCCTAAATGAACACAACACTCAGATTCTGTTGGAATTAAGTCTTAAACCAAATGAAAATCCAAACTCGCTGTTGTCCCAGCACCTCTTCTGGAACCCACTTGGAAAATGCCCTACAATCTCCGTCTTTCCACCCCCAGGGAGGTTGCAAGCTATAGAGTGAAGGAATCCTTTACCCACAAAGTCAGTCTGCATACTCATAAATCACGTAGAGCAGCTAGGGGCATTTTGCTTACGGGAGGATTCCAATCTGGGAGGCCCAGGACACAGGCAGAGTGTCTGCCTTCTGTCCTCATGTTTGCAGGAGTTCTCACTATTGAAGGTGAGGCTGGCATCCAGGGCCAGTCCAAGAGCTCTGACTGGAGGGGCATCAGATTGTCCCTCCATCCGTCATCATCTCAGCCTTCCAACTATCTCATTGCCTACTAGCAGTCCACTATGGTCCTGGCTCTTCTGTGAATTTATTCTGCAGGAAATCACTTTGTTATTCTCCCAAGTGTCCTGTACTTTGAGCTCCTGGGGAAGAATCAATTTTGTTTAAAAGAGGAAAATAAATAAACTGTAAGTTCAATCAAGGTAAAACTAGTGTTGCATTGGAAGAAGGGAACAGAAGCCAGAAGCAACCACATAAGGAAGGGAAGAAAGAGACACTGAGAGAGGAAGCCCTCCCATCTGACTCCTGTTTTCCCATCTCCAAAATCTTTTGGGAGGAAGTGAGAGAAAAAACTTCTTCCATATTCAGAAAGGTTGGTTTCTGAGAGCAGGGAGGAGGACAGAATCCGAGGAGCCAGTCCCCCAAAACTGAAGGTTGGGGGCACTCTGCACATCTTCTCTACACTGGGGAGGAGGCTCCTAACATGAGAGAGACCAAAATTTGAGACAAGTTCCCAACCCAGGCATGCTTTGGGGAGAGGTATCACGTTACATTGTCAGACCTTTCTGCTGCTGAAAGGAAGAAGGAAGAATCTTGGATCTTGGGCTGTGGCCCAGAAAGGGCAGGTCTGGACACAAAACAGCAACAGGCAGCCTTTGGGTGGGGTGAAGGGTGAAGGGCAGAGTAGGAGAAACCATGAGAGCCAAAACATGGAGGTGCTGAGTGCAGGAGGCACCCTGGCCAGTCTCGGTTTGGGAGTTCTCTGCTGACAGCTCCTGTTGGCCTCTGTACGTTACTCTTGCAACAGCAAAAACAACAGGTCTTCCAAGAGCTCTCAAGAAGAACATTTCTGGGTGGGACCCCTCCCAGTCCAGGGTGTGGCATGGCAAAGGGGCTCTGTGTCAGGAAGCCAGGCTGTCGACCAACCTCCATGAAGCAAAAGTCGACTTACAACATTCTCTATTTTGTCTGCCATTTGGTTTCCCTTCTGTCTTTATTTTTGGCATAGTGTCCTATGAATGTTCTCTCTTGGTTGCATTAGGAGAAAATACAGGTGATTTTAAAGACAGTGCAAAGAACCAGCACCCCCCTGGACTTTGGTGTAGCAGCAGCAAGAAGGGATACAAGGAAAACTAGAGGAAAATGCTCCCTCAGGCAGCTGCATCTCCCCAGTCCCCACTCTCAACCCATACACACTAACAGGAGTCAGGAGTCTTGGGGCTGGGTCCTGGCTCTGCTACTTACTGGTGTGCAACAAGGGTATGTTATTGCATCTCCCTGAACCTCAGTTTGTGCATTTGTAAAATGGGAAAAATAATAATAACATCACCAGGGTTATCTCATCACAGGAGATGAGTAAGATAAAATGCTCACCACAGTGCCTGGCCCAGAGTGAGCTGTCAGTAAATTTAGAGTTGGTATTCTAAAGGGAAAGGAAATGAGACTGAATAGAGTCAGGATATTTAAAGCAGATGAGAGGTGCAAAGGGGGAAGCCCAGATCAGGCAGGAGGCACACGGAGGGCTAGACCCTCACAGTGCTGTCGACCTGGTAGCAGGTTGTGGCCACAGTGTTGACAGCAATTCACTTACACTGTCGGTAGGTGCAGTGTAGGTGATGCCTGGAGTATTCCAGCCCCTGCACCTGCTCCTTCCAATGTCAGAAATAAATGAGATCTAGGATTCCACAGTTTTACTGCCTGGCAATGACTTGAGTGCCAACCTGAACAGAGCAGGCACTAGGTCAGGGGTCAGCAAACTGTTGCTGGCATGAGCTAGTTAGTAAATATGGGGGTTTGTGGGTCCCACACAGTGCCTGTCAAGTGTCCTCACCTCCTCTGCTACGGCAAAGAAGTAGCCAGAGACAACATATAAAATAATGAGAATGGCAGTCCTCTAATAAAATTTTATTTATGGATACCAAAATTTGAATTTCGGGCCGGTGCCGCGGCTCACTAGGCTAATCCTCCGCCTAGCGGCGCCGGCACACCAGGTTCTAGTCCCGGTTGGGGCGCTGGATTCTGTCCCGGTTGCCCCTCTTCCAGGCCAGCTCTCTGCTGTGGCCAGGGAGTACAGTGGAGGATGGCCCAGGTGCTTGGGCCCTGCACCCCATGGGAGACCAGGACAAGTACCTGGCTCCTGGCTCCTGCCATCGGATCAGCGCGGTGCGCCAGCCACAGCGCGCCGGCCGCGGTGGCCATTGGAGGGTGAACCAACGGCAAAGGAAGACCTTTCTCTCTGTCTCTCTCTTTCACTGTCCACTCTGCCTGTCAAAAAATAAAAAATAAAAAAATAAAAAAAATAAAATTTGAATTTCATGCAATTTTTGTATGTCATGAAATACTAATCTTTTGAATTTCTTCAACCACTTATGAATGCAAAAAAGCATTCTGACCTTGTGGGCTACACAGAGAAAAAGCAGTACGTTCAATGTGCCCCAGCCTGCAGTTTGCTGACCCTTTTGCTGCAACCCAAGGAGGCAGAGAGACCCGGGAACCTCAGTTACTCTTCACTGTAAACCTGGATTCATTGTGAACAATATGACTTCCTACTATGTTCACTGCTGTCAGTTTCTCCAGCTCTCTCCACCCCTCTACAACACTTAAAACACAGTCCTTTGATTCTTTGTCAGAGAGAGAGAGAGAGAGACTCTAATGCCCCAGTACCCTGAATCCCACTCTGTAAGGACAGACACAGAG